CTTTTACTTCTATGATTGCCTATACTCTTCGTCCTTACCAAGGCATATACATAGATTTCTCTCTAAAACCAAACATTTTAGTAAACTATATGGCCTTAAAGGATTTTCCAGACACCCACTTTGTTAACTGAACTTGATGAAAGATAAAAATTTCTCTAAATTGTAGTTTACTGTCTCTCTCTTCTGTGACACCGATGGCTGCTGTGCATCACAAAGCCAAGTGGCAGCAAGTGCAGCTTCTGTCACTGGCTGGGGACATCCAAGAGAGGTGGCCTAACACTTCTGTGGTAAGCAGGTCTCATCTCTAAACCAGACCTGGACAAGTGTCTGTGGGCTTAATTTCTGGACAACTTATGCCTCCTTGGTTGAGATGAGAGTCTTTTACCTCTCTAGGTTTAGAGAACCCATCTAACAAAACAGTGGTAAGACTGGCTCTCAGTCCATGTGTGTTCTTCTCCAGGAGGCACAGCAAGTCTCTTAATGCCCTTCTTTAACTGTGGATAAGCTACATTTCTGCTGCAGTGTGGTTCATTCACAAGTGGAATGTATGGATTTGAAAATCTATTTGTTGTACCCGAGGAAACAATTGTGTTTTGTGCTTCTCTGTGTCTCTGTGTGGACAGCCAAGTATCGGGAACGTTTTAGAACCTCATTGGAAGAGGTCCAGAGTTTTTCTAAGTACACTGTTTATGGTTTGTTTCAGATTATCAATTATGTCTCAAATAAAAAGCTCACTACAGATGATCATTGTGCTGTACTTTGAGCTCACTTAACTCAACATTATTTACAGAATATTTATCTTGGTTATGGCAGTTTTTGTCACAAACTGATATTACTTTTCCATTATATACTGCATGTGACCACCACGTAAGTTTGATAATAAATGTTGTGAAATAAAAAACAGAGTAAGTGCCTCGGTATGATAGCAATTCCCATGTGACGGGAAATAATGTCATAAACTTCAAATTACCTTTTAAATAAATGTTTACGTCCAACCCATCCATTAGATCATAGCCCGAAGGGTCAGGAGGATCATTTCTTCATCTTTCACTGTGTGCATTATGGTTGCTTTTTTAGGTGTAAATGATGTTTTTAAATGAAGAATGGCACTCGAACTATACACAAACAGCGGCTAGACATTACTGAGTTGTGGTACAGCAGAAATAGCCTCAGCCACTTTGCTAAATATAGAAGTGCAGCAGTAAATTGAATTCATTCTTAGAAAATATTTTTAATGGTGTAAGTGCTGAGATGATACAGAAATACAGCTTTTGTCATTCTCCCCGTTTGAAGCTTTGACATTTTAGTCAAGTTTCAATCCTAGTTGTGGTTTGGTAAATGGCTGATTTGCAAAATGCTTATGGGAGTAAAGATTTTGGAGAGCAGGGCAGAGAAGTGTACAGATAACAGATATTGTTTTAATGAAGGTCTGAGCCATCTAGGGCTTTGTGCATTTGTGAAGAGATACCACTCAGTAAGTGCCCAGAGATGCTGTGTCCCTGAGAACACCCAGTGTGATACATCTCACACGCTGAGACCTCACTATTCCCGGTGCCTTTCATAGGAAATGAACGCTTAGGACCATCTCAAACATGAAGCAAACCCAAATCCCACATTTAGAAATTTCTCTGCTTTGAGCTGGACATCCCTACTCCCTAGATCCTGGAGGAGCCCATATGGCTCCCCAAAACACCCAGTGCATCAAAGATTTTATATGTGGTGGTCTTAACCATGTTACCCCTACAGCAGCAGGCTAGAAACACAACTGGGACCTGGAATGGTTGGAATAAGAGAGAGGTGATTTTGGAGAAGCAGAAGCTGCAGTTGTCCTGAGACTGCTGGTGTGTATGTAGGGATGGAGCAGTTCCTCAGACAGGCCTGGACTGGGTGGGATGGGGGAAGGAAGAGCTGTCAAAGGCTGTTAGACTGATCTGGAAATAAATTTGAACAAAAAACTCCTGTTTACAGGCAGGGGAAAACCCATTGTCATGGAGATTTAAAACACCAATCAAGAAATTCAGTGGTGTTTTTGCTTCAGCTATGGTTTGACCTTCCTGTTTACATTAAACATTTTTTATGGCAGAGTGCAGTGACGTGGTTGCTTTGTTGAAGGTATTTGACAGTTACGGCAGTTCAGGGAATAATTGTTTTGGCTCTATATATGTCAGGAAAGAAATATGTTAATATTTGAGAACAGGTTACTTTTTTTTTTTTTTTTAAAGCCTCTTTTGTTTGTTATATTTCTCAACTTTACCTTCTTCCATAAGGACCATGAACACGATAAACTTAATTAACATTTCTTAGTGACGTCCAAAAAATTCTTTTTAGTTTAGTCTACTCTAGATCCAGTTTGCTATAATACTGCTTCTTTTGTCATTATCATTTGTGTAAAAATGGTATATTAATTTCTTAGAGTTCACTTCAGCTTGATTCTTTTTTGTTAGCAGAGATCTGTAATCCTTTCCACAGTAACCACTTGTAAAAGCAGAGGATTACAACTTGAGGCAGGATATGAACAGCAGGAACAGATCAACTTAAAACCAAAGATCCTGTTTCAGTACAAATGCTATTGTTAGCATAGAGTTGGGGTGAGTCAAGTGGCAGGATGTCTATTAGAATATAATAAATTCATATCAGCACCACATGGCATGCTAGCTAGAAGACACATCCTTCTAGCAGTTAGGTGATAGATCTCGTATTTTTATACCTTTACTTACTATACTTTTGCTTAATCCAGTAAACCATTCCCTCTGAGAATGGGTGATATCTAAACATCTGAACAGCTTTCTGGTTTTCTGCAGAGTTATTTTTCTGTCTAAAAAGTTTCCGCTCTGTTATACTTTTCCCAAAATCTGCTAAAAGCAGGGATTTGAAACTACACTACTGCAAGGTCATTTGGAGGTTGGTAATAGCCAGTGTGGACTATTGCTATCTTTTCTTATGATGTGTGTGATCCTTCAGAGAAGAGGAGATAGATAGGTTTTCTATTTTATTCCCATATTTACAAACAAGAAGTGCAATAACATTTTTCCTTCATTAAAAAGTCTTATTTTTAACACTGGTAGTTTAACTGACCTAACACCAATTCATGTGACTTAATTCAATGTATTTCTAAAGTTCAATTTTTTTCCTAATATTTTTCATGTTAAGGTTAGTAGGAAGTAATGAAAGCACCAAGCAACAAAATGCATACTAGGCATGTGTGGAAAAACCCTACTTTTTGTAAAAATTAGAAAAATTCTGAAATGGCATAGACAAAATTAGTTAATATACAAAATACAGTGATGTAGTCAGGTAGCAGTTTCACTTGGAACAATCTGTACAGTTATTCCAACAACTGACACCACATACAGGTAGTAGTCTGTGCTTCCTGAGCTTCTGTTGACTGTATTTTTGTAATAGACAGTGAAATATATCCTTTTATATATGATACAAATTTTGTCTCAGTATATATTAGTTTGTACATGCATATATATATATATATATATATATATATATATAAAATATACTGCACACCTTCAAATAGTAAAATTCCACATAAATTTCTCTAATGGCAAGTCAAACAGAAGCTCTGGTGGAAAAAAATGTTTGGAGGGATCCTTAATCGTTGTCATGTGGTGACAAGAGACTCAATGTGTTGATTTCAGTGAGTTTGTTTTAATGCTTGCTGCTGCGTGGATTAGGATCCCTCTTCAGTGTCCTGAAGTTAGCAAGGTTAAAAAAAAACAAAACAAAACAAAACAAAAAAAAATATAGTCTTATGTTGTATTTCTAACTCCTATCTGAAAAGATTTTATTGCACTTGATAAATAATGGTTTTCAGATCACCCTACTGATGGCACTTGGGCTGCAACTGTATTATCAATGAATGAGAAAACAAAAGCCCTGGCATTTCAACAGTATGAATTCTTCAGACTGTATTATTTTGTTAGCCTGAGGCAAGAGACTGTGCTCTCAGTACTTGTCTGTGCAGAATGAGTAATCTGAGACAAATGTGTAACCACACCGTGTGTACAATATGTCCACATACTGCAGGCTCCCCGGTCTTGCTGTGTGCCACAGGCAGCCAAGTATCTCTCATGGACAATAGTCATATGTTAAAAAATGATAATTTTATTTTAATGTCTGTGATTTCACCACACTGGCTGATTCTAAAGGCATTATAACATGACAGTGTAACTGTGGGTCTGTTTGTTCTGTTAGAATCAGAATTTCATACTGTAAGGATTTTGTTTCACCAGCAGGATTTTCTGTTACCAGAATTCTGTATTTGTGCATGAATGCTGTGCATGAGAGCAACCGAAAACACGTATTCCCAGTGCTTTCTATTTCAGTGTTTTAACATGACTTGCATTAGTGTGTGTGTGATAGCTTGAATTTTCTTTCTTCGCCAAAGCTGCTTAAACAATACAATGACAGATTTCTGCTTTTATTCTTCGTTAATGTCATTCTTCATCCTCTCTGCCCCACATCAGGGAGGAAGTGTTGCGAGTTTGCTATTTTAATGAAGAGAAATGAGGCATCTATCAACTAGGATTTACACTGGAGAGCACATCAATTCAGTTGCCTTGAGCTTGCTGAGTTTGCATATCCAGGGCCAGGCAGTGCTCTCAATTACTCCCGTGCAACCCCATTACCTTCAGGAGGTTGGGCGGTTCAAAAGTGGCTTTGCAGAATGCAGAGTGATATTGAGGGGGAAAAGAAAGCTATCTGTTAGAGAAGTCAAGCTCCAAAATATGGTTTTTGGTTATCTATAGGGAGATGTGCATGTAGTCATAATTGCACTTGTGAAAGGTTGGGGTAGTCATCACATAGTAATTTCATTGAGCATCTCTTTGTAGCTGTGCCTAACAGAACAGACAGCCTCCCAGAAATTACTGCAGTGAGGGGGAAAACACTTCCAGCCCTGGAAACATATTGTAAATCATATGTCTTTAGTAGACTCTATCCTGTAATTACTCTTAACCGTAGGTTGTTCCCTCCTCTCTCTCTCTCTCCAGGAGCTATGCCGCCAGCGCATGGCAGTGAAAACATCTGATCGCCCGGAGCCCCTCCACTCTTCCCGAATAAACAGCGTTTCTTCTCAGCTCAGCGATGGGCCCATTCCCAGCCCCTCAGCCCGGAGCAGCACATCGTCCTGGT